GAGACTTAGTCATGGACACGTAGGTAGTGTTCCCTTCAGTCCAATGTGCGCAGACCTACAATATGTAACCAGCTGCTGTAGATATCGGGCATACATCATCGAGGGATATTGTAGCAGAAAAAACCGGTCAATCGTTGAAAATAAACAGCAGTTGGTTTGCTACCGTTGCCGACGTTGTAGCGTTCTCCCACACCTACACACGTACCTGCACCCGTTGAGTCTTGGGGCCCATGCCTCCTACGGCGTGTCTTGATCTCACCGCCTGTATGCCGGCGGTGGGTAAGCCGAGGGCACCGACCGACATCAGAAACGGATGCCACGCAAACAAGCCGCCTTGGTTGTAGCCCTCTAAGGAGATGAACAGAGCCAGACCGAGGCCGAGGACGGTGGTCATCATACCGATCATGATGTCGTTACCTTGCTGCAGGCGTGTTTATGCTAGTGTATTGCGCACGAAATACACTACCTCCCGCGCAACTGACGTGCAGAGCAGCACTCGTGGCGCACGATCTGATTGTTGTTGTCCCAGCTGTGTTGTCCAATTTTTATTCGTCCATCTTGTTGGGTCCCCCATCTTGATCCGGCAATCCCGCCGCAGTTTGGTTTCCACTGGTTCTAGCGGCGTAGTCATTTTCCGAAATCCAGGTTCTCTTCTTGTTTCCCCGGTCTGGTCCCCACCCAGCAGGCGCAGGCGGGTACCCTCTTTGTTCTCTCTATTGCTCTGTCCTCTCCTGTCTCACTTCGCTGCCGTGCTAAAAAGAACCGGGAGCTAGGACAGCGGGATCCCGACATGGCGAACCAGGACACCCATCGTGCCCAAGAGGTGGGAAAAGGAGAAGCCCCCAGATAGTTACGTGGTTCCTTTGCAACTACAAGCGTATGACGTACAAGCGCACCGGCAAGCACTAGCCTGTTTCAAAATAGTTAAACCTATTGGGCCGGCATGAGCACAGGCCAAGAGTCGACGGTGAGCTAACGAACACCACGCTGCCTGTGTCCTTCAGCGTTTGGGTACCGGTCGTACTTTTGAGAAGCCACCAAAGAAGCTGAGATCCGATTTTCGTCTCGTGGGCCTCACTCGCATCATGATGGACGGGGATGCTGCCTGCACAGCGCCTCTTGTCTGCTGTCTAAGAATAGACGTCCATACGCCGGGTGTTTTTTTAGCCGAGGCGCGTAACGGATGCGCGAGAGCAGTTTCATGCATACGATTCAATCTGCAGTCAATGGAATTTTTTTTGGATTGAAACGGACGTGAGTAGGGCTGCTCGATCCACTGACGATATTTTCGTGCCTGAGGTGCGCAACGGTTGCGAGTATGTTATTCCCAGTGATCAACATCGCATACGTTGCAGCAATACATGCATCCTCGGAGTGTTTCTTTTACATTCTGGTACGATACACCTGCCTACATCCAGGACCCCGTGGTCGTTATTTGGTTGAAAGGGCCAATCGCTGAGACCACTATGATTGATGGGGCTATTGATCTAACAGCAGTCGTGGGGAAGGCTTCTGCCAGGTGGTTACGAGGACTTGTGCCGGCGATTTTGTTCCAGTCCTGACGGCTGCACTGCTGTATGTAGTCGCTGAAGAAACACGCTGTAACAGCAGTGATACCGTGTATTCAATTGCCCACCTCGACAACGTCTTGCGCTGCTGTATGGGGTCTTTGCCACTTTTATTCAGCCTATCGCGTGGGCTACGTGTTGGTTTTCCTGGATCTTGTTGTTTTCTCGTTTGACTCTTCATGTGAACAGCAGTCGTGGCTCCGATACAATGCAAGAGGGTACCTTATAAGAGGGAGCTCCCATATAAGAAGGTCGAAATCGGTTTGTCACGGGCTCGACCCGCATCAGTTAAAAGTGGGTACCCTCTTCTTCCGGCATAAGAGGGGGCTCCGATGTAAGAGGGCCGAGGGCCTTTATCACACACCTTCTTAGATCGGTTCCACGACTTCACTGACTGTCTATTTTTTTTCGGGGAATCCAGTTTGTTGAGTCACGGGACACGTGAAGAGTCTCGCAGCACGAGAAACACACAAAAATACAGCAGTACGGATGTTCGAAACTAACGAACAAAGGTCAGAACAATTTTGCGCCTGAGGACAACGGCAGTCGCAACGCCAACGTTTGATCGATCGCTCTGCAGAGCTCGCGGAGCTCCCCTAGCAGCGCGATTGCCCAACCCGCTCGCTGCGACTCGACTCGAAATAGTTCCACATTTTGACAAGTGCTAAGCATACATTTCTGACGTCGTCTCCCCTCCCCTGCCGAACGTTGGACCCAGGACGCCCCGTTGTCGGCACACCCACCACCGTCGTCTTCGCAGGGGGGGCGCGGCGCTATCCACACCTATTCTTCTGTGGACACCCGCGGAAATGATGATGGCGAGGACGGCGTCAGCCACAAGGGTTTAGGCGGGCCCACGGGGTACGAGTACGCGCCTTTCGTCGACAGCAATTCAACCAGCTACGGCGATGCATCTGCCAAGCGAGAGGACGGGGGAGGCGTGATACGCCTGACAAGCCGGCACCACGCGGCGATACCAATCTCCTACTTCTGCGTCGGGTTTCTGGGCAGGTGCGACTTCCTCGGCGGGTGTTCCTCGCCATGGTTTCGGCGCCCACCGTAGACCTCGTTCGGTCTATTGTAGAGCAACAGTTTATTCATCTAGAATGGTATCGTACGTGGAAGTGGAGATGACAGACCAGGAGCAACAATTATACACGGTTTCTCTGGCGTTACTTTGTTCCTCGCCGCAAGTTAGAGCTTCTTGCGAGCCTATGGATCCAGTCATGTACCCTCCGTGCTGGGATGGATGTTGACGTCGAGCATGTCACCCCTGTGAGGTTTCTTGAATGCCAGGGCGGGCACGAAGCAGCCTTGCAGGAGGTATTCTGTGTCTGTGCTTCTGTGATACCCCCATCGTCCGCCCCTTGCCAGATGCGTATGCGTGGTCGATTCCGAAGCTGCCAAGAGCTAGCGGAATACGTTGCGCCTACCCGTTTTGGTACCACGCATATATCATATCCATTTACTGTGCGTAGCTCATATGTTTTTCTTTTTCACGTGCTTCCAAATCTCCTCGTTTGTGCCCTTCCCATGCCGTCCGCCCTACTCCCGTGCCTACGTCGATAGCTTCGTGGTAAACCCGCTCAACATCTACATCGTTCAGACCCTCAACGCCCAGCCTTCCCAGCAGAACACACTCGTGGTCCTCATGACGGTCCCGTGGTCGTTCAAGCTGATCTACGGCTTCTTATCGGACGTGTGCCCCATCGGAGGCCTAAGGCGAAAGCCCTACCTGGCCTTCGGCTACCTGCTGTCGTCCTTTTGCTACCTGGTGCTCGCTCTCACAGCTGAGGTTTGGACATGGCGTCATTAGTGTCAGGATTTGTTTTCGGAGAAGGAAGGGATCGTGCAGAGGCAACGTTGTGACGAGACTTGGATATGAGGTATTTGTGCTGTTGGATATCCATACCTCGTCTTCTAGACCCGCGACCTTTCTCCCTTCAATCTAGGCGAGGCGTTGCAGAGGACATCCAAGAGATGAGGGGAGCAACATACATTAGGAAGTCTGTGACCTCGTTCGTTCCAAAGGGCCAATCGGTTGTATTCGTGAGTTGGGATGATATTGTACGCTCTGATAGCATTACTGTAGCGTGCTTCCCGGCACCAACAACGAACAGCCTATGCCGTCGCGCTTTCCCGTACACGATCCGCACGCCGGCGTTCCGTGATTCAGCAGGTGACCATCCAAAGCCTTTCAGGATTGCTTTTCCTGGCGACGATGGGCCAGATTATGGGCGACGTCATGGCGGATACGCTGGTATGTCGGCCAATTTGTAGCCACATGTTGTCGTAGAAATAGAGTGTGAATGGACAGCTCGCACGACCTTCTTGCACGCTGCCCTCAACAGTTTCTACATACACGAAGAAGAGCCACGGGACAGAAAATACTTCATGGGTACTCGTCTCCTTCCTGCCTACGGTCCGTCCCTCGCCGTTTTGCTTGTCTTCGTTAATTCCGACCAATGGCATGCCCCCTGAGGCTGCTACCGCCCCCCCCGGTGTTTGCCATCGGGGTTTGGTTTTCGTCGCTTGGCAACGACGTTGTAAAACAAGCCGCCCCCCCCGGTGTTTGCCATCGGGGTTGGGTTTCGTCGCTTGGCAACGACGTTGTAAAACAAGCCAATTCACTTCGTGAACTCGGCAACCAGGTTACCGTTTTTTTTT